GGTGGACCAAAGCACGATCAAATCCCTATAATACAGACCGCACTTAAAAAGGGGGTGTGCTTTAACATTTTCTTTGAAAAAGTAAAGTGGTATATGCTTAAGCCTTAAAGTGGAGACAAAACAATTTCCTCTGTTAAAAATAATAACCTATTTATTTTCTAAATGTTATTATTCTAGTCTTAAAAAGTTGTTTTATAAAATACAGAACATAATATAATAATGTTTATATCACCGGCCATCGTCGCTCCCGCATAACAAAATCATATTATAGCGACTTAATAATTTGTCCTACAATTTTTAATATTCTAGACTTCAGGTTTTCGAACTTGGCCGAGTTCGGGTTTGACCGGTGTTACCGGCTACCAGGTATACCTACGCTTTACACTACAATTCTCCGTATGCTATATGGTCGTTGTTATTATTATTATTACGTGTACCTGCGCTTTTTTTATATCATGATGCATTCTTCACCGTGTTAAAACACAAGTGTAATAATGTTGTTATGATGGTTTTTTTTTACTGAATGACGGTGCACATTTACACTTGGTGTAAAAATAATAATTCTTATATATCGTATTATTCTTTTACCTCATTAAAATAATATGTTCTGCGAGCATAACCACCACGTAGGCTGGTAGGCGTGACTGTGTTTTAAATCAAATAATAATAATCAGGATGATAAATACCGAATTACTGTTGGTATGAGTTGGGTGGTCGACCGATTCACTCGAGACCGGTTTTTTCTTCTTTACCATAAAATACCAACCTTTCGTTATAATTATATGTGTATCGATATATAATATATAAATACATACTAAATATACTAAATAAATCCATAATACCGATCCTAATTGCACTTAATAGTAAAGTTAAGCCTAAGCTTATATAGCACCCGAGGGATTATATCTGTAGACTGCTGCAGAACCGTGTGTTTTGCCCGTCAAGACAGTAGTCCGGCACAACGACGAATATGTTATTATTATTTTAAAACGATGATAATATAATAACTCTGATAATGTACGACATTGGTTGACTGTAAAATGCATGATCTAAGTGATTTTACACAGTGAACGATATCATGATTCATTATCGTAATGCCCGCCAGGCGCCGGTCATCGCTTCGTCCAACAGTTAAAAGTATGTACCGAGACGTAGTCCGATATAAAGTACCTAATATGTAAAATATTATGTGAAGCGTAGGTACATAATCTATCTGTATAATATTATGTTATGAGTTGAAAATTACACGAAGATCGTACTTTATTACTTATTACGGTTATCACGGTTAAATCATTCTTTTGGCTTTTACTACATGGTAATATTTTTCTATTAGGTATACGACCAATAACTTTAACGATTAAATATATATACCGAAGTACCTACATTAAAGAACAACTACATAACAAAAGTATTAGACTAATATGAATAGGTCATACTGTCATAGAAATAATATTATTATGAACACAATACTGAACACATTGTGACGCTCATTATAACGGTAAATTAATTTAACATTTTATAATTTATTGCCGGAAACCTTCCGAAGACTAATTTTATTGTATACAAAATAAATGAGCAGAACGTAGAACATTAAACCGCTTTTTAATATCGCAATTTTGAATTAAGAAAAAAATTTTAAATTGATAAAATACATTATAGAATAATAAAAGAATACTTTTTTCATTGATAAATCAGTAGTTAATAGTTTAACGAACTTTTACCATCTATCTAAATTCTAAATGTTAAGTATCTGTGTAAGGTGTCAACTAAATAAAATAGATATTTACTATCTATTTAATTTGCGATAGGTTAAAAAATCCCCAAAAAATATACACACCACGGAAAAAGAGCCCATGGAAGTGCCATTACTATATTATATTTTTTAAATATTTCGTTGATTATAATTCGGAAAAGCATAATATATACAATAATACTTAATAATACCCACATGATATAGATAACAGATAATAATCAAAAATAATAATTATAACTAATGGCTTAGTAACTGATGTTACTAAGATGAATAAAAAAAAAATAGTGGGTCCATTAGTGTGTAGCCATTCCCCTTGTATTAAACTTGAGTAACAAACTGATATTATAGGAAGGTACTACGCGCCTGTTTTGTATTGAGTATTGACTTATTATATCATTACTTGTTTAGTTGTTTAATTTTTGTACAAATGTAGTACATTCCTAAGACTGATGTTTTTTCATTGTAGGTTCTATATTATATCATTAATCACCTAATGACTCAATATAAGAAAATTTATAATTTTAAATTTGGTTCAATAATTTGTGTGCGCCATACAGCTGTCAAATTTGATGGAAATATATAATCGTGGAGTGAAACAATACATTTTTTTTTTTGATATTATTTATTTAAACCTAATATGTATTTATGCAAATTATTAAGTTTTTTCTTATATTTTTTAACATTATTACTAGTTAGGCACTACAGTCAACTGCAGTATACTACAGTCTAGGTACAACACATTTTATTATTCAACTTTTTCCTTACATAAATTGGTACAAATCTTTTAACGTAAAAATTTTGTATGTGGTCATATAATTAAAATAGTTATGCATGTATCGATCGGTCAATGATTTTTTTTTTCATGTTATCTCAGACTTTAAATTACGACCTTACGGAGATCCACAAGACAGAACAATGTTTATTTCATTATGAATTAGCTGCGAAAGACAACACGTATGTCTGTGTTCAAGTAGTAAATATTTATATAAATTAGGAAGTGAGCTACAGCCATTACAAAAACATTTATTCAGTTTTTCTGAATGCGACACCAGACACCATGCATAGTAAATACTATACATATAGTATATAGGCATGACGTGTTGAGTGTGTATGAGTTCAATGAAATTCGAAAGCAGTATTTGAAAAAAAAGTTGAAACACGCATTGCAATATTGTTCAAGAATCTCTCAGTCTTCGTACAGTTGTTTTTTTGTTACTCGCGTTCAAAATTGGTTTTTTATCGGGTGCAATTATGGAGGAAGGTGGTCATGGCATGAAGATGATCACGAGTACGAAAAATATTGCAGACTGCAAATTATAATATTAAATATAGCTACCTACGCAGACATACGCGTAGTCAGTGCCGAATTTATCGAGGGTACAAGTGGTGAAATACACCTCAAGGCTGAGTTTGTTTTAAGAGCGTATCAGGTGATGTCCTGAATTTTCTTATTTTGAAAAATGATAAATTAATAATGTTATTTAATATCTAATGGCGAAGAAAAAAAAGTATTTTATGAAATATAAGCCGCACCCATTTATTTAAACGAACGTTATAGACTCGGTTATATCCCTATAAATTGTGACTGGGATTTCAAGGAAAACATGAACCACGATGAGTTACCTTGTTGAAAAGTTTTCTTTTTTAAAACCATCTTCACTTCTATAAAATACCATAAAAAAATAATTTAATTAATGCAACAAATTAATTATAAATAGCAATTTTTTAAGGGGACTTCGATATTATTAGTTACACCCCGGCCCTCCGAGACTTAGATCCGACACGGCGACACTGCGTGTATAGTACTGCCCGCACTCCGCGTAGGATGATAATAAATAGACGTTATAAAAAAGTATATAATTGCGATAATTTGTTGTGGCATGTATGTAATGGCTATAATATAATAATTGAACTGTTGCATACGTCAAGACGAAGATCGCACAGACCCACACACACACACACACTACATTTTATAATATTATGTATGTATATGGCGTGAGTAGTGGTAAACTAGTAAAACAGACTTTTATATGTGTCCCTCTCCAAACTCGTTACAATATACACGATTAGTCGAGGGGATTGTAAAACAACGACGCGCGACGACGTTCTTGAGTCCCGTTTGAGACAAATGCAGATCTATATATTATTATTATAAGCGGTTGACCGACACCGCTCACGCAAGTTCCATCATAATAATTTATAACACAACAATTAAATGGCTGCAAAACGTGCGACGAATGAAAAAATATAAAATAAAAAACGTGCGTAAATTATTATAATTAGTTTGTTGGCCCGGTGGCCGGGTCATCTGCAGTACAACCGAGGCATCGTCCTCGACCACGAGGTGTTACCAAGGAGATATTATATTATACTTATGTACCTATTGTACCTATGTGCAGCGTTTTTCTCCATAAATATAGCTATTGCCTATTTATATGTATACTATGTATGTACTGTAGTATATAATATTATATATGATACTGATACAACGTAATAAGACTGATATTGGTTTTAACAACGAACTTTCGATAGGAACGTTTAGTTTTTGGATCGACTTGCAGGGTGCCCTAGGAAATCTTGATCGTGGAAAAAAAATTTTTTTAACTTGATCGTAACATTAACTTTGTAGGTATATACAGGTTTATACGGTTTATTTTGTATTACACATATATTGAGATATAATTTAATGATATTTGGTAGGTGAGAATTCATTTTGCCCCTTCCATTGCCCTCAACATTCCTGCACCGTGACTGGGCTACTGCGGGGATCTCGAATTTCCTATAACAGACATTCTTATTACCCAAGTGATTCCTGTCACCCTCGTCTTTCTAGCGATATGTGATGCTTTCTGTGTCCTGACCCACTCCTTTAGCCTCTCCTACGATTCATCTTCACATCTGCGTCTGGCACGCAACGAAACTGACTGTTACTCGATTCAAATCAAAATCATATTAATTTTATACTATCAACGATATTTAATTGAGAACAGAAAATCATATACTCACAAATTTATCAATGTCACTATTATAGTCTATAATAGAAAGTTATAACTGACCACATTGAATATAAAATGAACGCTGTATAATGTATATTGTATCATACAATTTGTATGCTAGTTATAAATGCATACAATGACTTTAGTTCATAAACTGAATTTTGAAAAATAAATGAAATGTATCTATTTACGTACATAACAATTGTACATATTAAGTACCTCGACTAACGTTGTAAATGTATATTTTTCAGAAGTGCTCAACGAAGCTGCGAGATGCGTAAAATAGTATTATTATTTGCTGTTGCGGCGGTGGTGGTTGCTTTCGGCGTCGTGCCAACAGCTGCGAAGAAGCAAAAAGAGGATCGTGGTGGCTCGACGTCCACCGACGACAATGGCAACAACGTCAGCGACACCAGGGCAGAGGTGGCCAACGAATACGACAGCCAACGGTTTAACGTGATGTACGCTGAGGACGAGTCCGTGGCGGCCACGCCCGAACCTGCGGCAACGACCAAAACGCCGACCAAGCAGTCTTCGAGCAAGCAGCACAACGCTAAACTGTTGAACAGGTTGGGCATGAAGAGGGTACGGACTTCCAGTGGCAGTGCCAATGACAACGGCAATGCCAACCATCACCGGAAACGATTGGCCAGCCAGTCAAGGAGCAAATACGCTGCGGACGGCAAAGGCGGTTCGGACTCACAAATGTTCATCGTTAAGTTGCCTCCACATTCGCACTTTTACGACGACGGGTCGCCCGTCCACCAAAGGCTGGGCCAGCAGCATAAGCAAGCGCCGTACAAGAACCTGAACACGGTGCCCGTAGGATTCGTGTCCAACGGCAAACCTGCCAAGGTTTACCACTGGAACCTGCCGACCATCAAGCACGCGCTCAGTGGCGGCCGTTACAAGGGCGTCAACGACTTGGTCGCGATGCAGCAACAGCAGCAGCAGATGCAACAGCAGATGCACCATTTGCAGCAGTACGCTCAGGCCGGCGACTTCGAACTGCCGTCGGCGTCCAGTTCCAAAATCTTGCCACGACGCACGCTCTACTATAAGCCGCGGGCGGCCGGAAAACCGGTGAAAAAGTCGTACGTCAACAACGGCAAGCCCAACGGATTCTACGTGGTCAGCAGCAAGAACTCGGCCGCGGTAGTACCGCAGTACCATAAGATCATCAAGGCGTACTACGGTAGCGGCGACGATTAGTAGCCTGCAGCAGCAACTGTCGCCGACCACCCGTCGCCCAAGTCATCGATCCATAAACGTGAGTTGTGCAACCCATCGTCCGTAATAATAATTTATCGTCATACGCGTGAATATTGTGTATGCCTTATAGAGACAGTCGAGGGCTGTCTAGTATACTTGCAGGTCCCGAAAGAGTTTTTCGTTTTTTTTTTTTTTCAACGGCAAATTTATATTTTTTATAGTGCGGTTTTGTTTTTTACTCAGAACATGACCCGTGTTGCTATATTACAATGACGATATTTTGTTTCCGTCAGAAAGCATTTTCACCTTCGCCGTTCAAAAAAAAATCCATAAATCGCCACGCGTGGGTGTGCAGCTGCGTGTTGCAGCAGTAAAGACGCGCTGTGCTTACTCGACGCATTATTGTATACCACCCACAGTCCACACGTTTTTTTTTAAGTACATAATATAATATTATGACATTATGTATACAAAGTGACCCGTCGACGTTGCGGTGACGAATCGTTATTCGTAACGTTTACACGTTTAACACGTCTTGACGTCGTCGTGTGCGATATACGCGACGACAATATATCGCAGCGTTATAAATTATTTACGCGATAATATATAATATATATATATATTGGTAATAGGTATCTGGTATATAGGCACGGAGAGTATATTAGCGAGTCGGCTAGTTTAGTATTCTGCCGCAGTCCATCATACCGTCCGTATATGAAGAGGCGACACGTCCGCAATGTCGGTATTTATGCCTCGGTTTCTTCCCTCTCTGTATATGCCTTTAGCCAGTTATATTATTTCGATAAAACGCTGTATGACATTTAAAAAGAAAACCGCTCGACCGCGTCAAACGGTTATGTAAATAATAATATTATACCAACGATTTTATCGTTTATGTACCCTCGAAAAAAGATCATACCATTATCACAATATACACTGCAGTACTATAAACACATCATTACTCATCGTTATTATTATTACAGTGTAATAAGTACCTGCGCGTAAACTATACACTATTATATTATTATGCAAAATAAACATCGATTTTTCGTCTGAAAATCTAACTAGGTAATCTAATCGGGGGCCGTCTATACATATAATATTACGAGTCAATTACTCAATTATATTTTATTCAATAATAATATAATATTAATCGTCTGCGATTTTTCGAGAATCGCACGTGGCAATTACGATTTAGAGTGAGGGCGAACCCACTATAAACTCAAGCAACACGAACCCGTTTCGTTTTGCACCAGTTAGCTGCGCGTTTAATCGTATTCATTATTTTTTTTCATCCTGTGCCGTTTAATATAATGTTGTACTATAAATACATGGTACTTAACTATACACCAAATATCATATTATCACTTATTTAATATAATGGTTCATTTGTGTCCGTTGAAATCGGTTAAAGATCTTAGTGCTAGAGCAAAAATAATAATAATACATACACTCAACATTTTTAAGGGGATTCGATACCGATCATTTTTATAAGGAGTTCAATATAGGCAATTTTCTAAATCCGTTTCGTGTATATATGTGTGCGTAGTCAACAATCATTAGTGGGTATAAATGTAGTACATAGTGTAAAAGAAATAGAGGAACGCTGCCGCACGTGCACGATTGCATGCTAATAATACGCAATAGGTATACACACAATTTACAAATTTTTATTTTTATTTTGTGTGTGTCTTAAATAGTTAACCAATTGCATACTAACTTAGTTATCCGGTAAAAGTTTCTAAAAAACTATTTGAATTCGTCATTAAGTTTACTTGAAATCGACATTCTTACGTTTTTAATTATGTCTTTTTAGCTTAATTCTATTAACGTATTAAAATTCTTAAAATTCAAAATTTTGAAACCCAATGTTGAAGAGTTTAAAATTTGAAAAAAGTGGAAAAGTCGTTTTTAAAATAACTTTCCGACGAATATTTATTTTGTATGCAATTGTATGAATCAAATATTTTCCCAAGAAAATAGCTGATGCCTATACGGATTGTACCGACTATCCATCATATAGTGTCCGTACAATTGATATAAGACAGGTTTATTTTGGTAGAAACACAGCCTGGACGCAATCCTCTTAAGACAAAATATAATATTTTACAATATTTTACAGATTAAATATCTACAGGTTTATCGTACATACTACGTATGTATGCAATATTCATATATAATAAATTAATAAAAGTAATACGTTTAAAAATGTTGTTTTTTAACAATTTAAAATGACGCAAAAAAAATATTTTCTTGAAAAATGACGAGTGACCATTACGTTAAACGGATCACCCAGTACTGCTGAGTGCTGGTACTCATAATATTATAGATAGCCGTACATAATATATATAATTTATAATATGTATGTGATTGTGACGGACGCGTTTCCAACGTATCGTGTGTTTAACCCGGTGAGTACCGGACACGATGTAATTACGTATGTGTAATGTATATTATAATATAAACATAATCGTAAATCCTTTAAGGAAAAAAATAATGATATTCATATCGTTACGGATCTTGAACGCGCGTAGTTTTCTCTTAGGCGTAAAGCGGGCCCCCCCAAAAAAAAAAAAAATATTTTTTTCATGTTTTGTTTTTATTTTTTTTTTTACTTTTTAGAACACGCGAGCATTAAGATTATAATAAGAATAATGGTATTGTCCTAACGCTGCCGCCGCCGGCTTGGTGTTCAATTATTGTTTCTCGTCCACTAAATTGTACATGCGCACATGGATAGATATAGATACATACATACATACAGTTTATGAGCATATACATATATGTTTTATGTATATTATACACTTAACCGTGGCCGCGGCGAGAGGGTCACTATTCCGTGAACTTTATAACATGTTGTATACTGATATTTCACGCCTAGTGCGCTAACGGTACACCGGTGCATATTTACCGGTTTGAAAAATTGAGAATTAAGGAAAAAAACATCGTGTTCTACGTACAGTTGTGTCAATAGCGTATATTATATGTGTGTGTGTGTGTGTGTGTGTGTGATATTATATAAATGCATAAAATAATATTCATCATTCGAGTACGGCGTAGGTACGTGTGTGTAGGAATACCTACTATACTTGCACGTTGACCGTTTTTTAACGTACCCGTACTCAAATATATTTTAAACGATCCAGTTTAAAATATTTAGTCTATATCGGGCAGAACAATTCACCGTATGCGGGGAAAAAAATAAATAACAAATATCTTGTCTGATATACCCAATACCTACAGCCCAAAATACGATACTTTTTCCAACTCTCGTCGCGTTGCTTGCACACGTCATCGTTTATCAATATACGATTTTTACAAGTTAATATTAATATGTACACATTAGACCGGCGCGCCCACATTAAGTTGTCTCTGTGCAACGCAGTTCATCGCATATTTCGCGAGGTTTCTCTCGCGGTGCTGACAGGTTACAAATTATGTACATTTCAATAATATAGGTAGGTACCTTTTTTTTAAGTATATTTGCAGCTCGCTAGCATTCAATGCGTATGCACGGTTTATTATTGAAACGAAAACACTCGGAAAAATTATCGGTTCACGATATCCATTAAATCTAAATACCACACTTGAAGTGTTTCAGTGTTGTGTCCTATATATAGACCCTAATAAAATATATATATATATTAATACGGCATACACAATATACACGATATATGAAAATGGTATAATTGTATTTTATGTTTGGTGTACGTTTATTCGCTGCTGCTCCAGTCGCGATGTATATAGGAAGAATCAATTTATGTGTTTATACTTTATATAGCATTATATAGTGCCTTTTTTTTAAGTCATTGACCGCGAAATGTGATTAAACATATTTTTTCACTAACCCTCTTGTGTGTTTTTTAAATACAGGAGTTGGAGTGCGCACGCGGCCGTAACGAGTGTTCATCAAGTTACGTACACTGGACCGTTTCAAAAAAAATTAACTTGTGTTCTTTTTTATGTTACGTACTTATATAATTTTTCCAGAATGTTGTATTTTGTAAATATCGCGATTCGTGACGTAGTTTAGTATACATATTATATTATATTATAATAATAACTTATTTATTTTATATCCAATCAAACATCACTATATTATACATTTTGTACATACATAGCGTATATAATTAACAGTATTTTAGAACTCTTTTAATTATACATATAAAATAATTGTAATACATATATATATATATATATATATATATATGTTGCGCTCAAATTATCGTGTATCAGACTGAACTAACATAATACGTTTTACGCCTTTTTTATTTTGTATTGTGAATTCGTCAATTCATTATAATAATATGTAAAATATATTATGCATACATTATAATACTATATACTTAGGTAATATAATATAATAAATGAATATTTTTTTTTAAATTATAGTCCTATTTCCTTATTTTATTATTACTACTATAACTCGGTTACATATTATATCGTTTTGAAAAAAATATCGATTTTCGGCAGTATTTTCCGTTAACCATATATTTTTTATTTTTTTATAAAAATAGATACTGCATTAAACCTATTTACATAATATGTAATCACAGAATTGTAATGCACAATTTGGATACTAAGGTATCATGTCCACTTAAGCCATTGTTGTTTTGTTCGAAATTCCTGTCTCATCGAGAGGCGCGGTCTACTTAATTTATTTGCAAACAATTTGCAGCATCTCGTCGCAAATTCCTCGACGCGATTCCGTCACCCAGTCGTGGTCGGCGGCAAAATTGAAAAAAATTCATTAAATATAGGAATAAGAAAAAAAATGAAGGTACGCGAGCAATTTTTTTCAATTGTATTCGCCGAACCAATTTTTTATATTTGAAAATACCAGTTACAGCATGCAATGGAAATCGCTGACCACCAGTACCTATATCATTTTCCCAGGACTTGAACCTACGATCTACCTGCTAAATATACTTTTACGTATACTATATAAAGGTACAACTGCACAACCAGTATCATGTATGAATATAATCAAGTATAATGACTCGCTTCGGCAGTGCATTTATTAAAATTGGAATGATATATTGATTCATATATGAATGACTTTTATAGATCCTAGTGCTTCTCGAAACAATCGAAAGTCCTTGTAAAATGTAAATATGTTTATAATACAGGATAAAGGAAACATATTTCCCAAAGCGCCCACCAATATATTTTTGTCCAGTGCTTGACGAAAACAAGGTTTTTTTTGTTATAATATATACTTTATTTTATGTTTAGGTACTCAGCATAGACCATAGACTATATTCGTCTCAACCAACAAATTTATCATTATTCATCAGTAAGTTTGCTATAAAATAAATTTTCATAAGATGTGTAGCAGAATGCTAGTATAAATGCTAGTATAGACTATAGATAGTTGTCGTTGAAAAAAATTTACATGAAATATTAAAATGTTTCATATTTTTTCTTCTCATTGAAATGAGTTTTATAAGTTAGAGTGAACAAACATAATACTATGATATATAATATAATACATAATACTATACTATAATACTACATAATAATATTATAGAATTTTAAGAATAATAGGTACACCCACACTTCCCAGAAAATAAAATTACTATCGTTATTGAATATCTCAAACGGCCTTGTCTGCACCAAAAACAATGAAAAAATTCGAACACGCTCGGTCCATCCGTATTAATTTAGTACTTTTTACAAAATTACTGCAGTAATGCAATATACTATAATATGTATATATTATACTTTAAAAAAAATTATACATACCTAAAGTATGTTTTAATATCTATAATAGACATTTGCATTAAAAAAAAACATTTTAATGGCGCGATGGACAAATAATATTAGTCCTAGTCTTTTCGTCTGTTGTTTGAAAACATAATCGATGAAGTGGGTGTATTGGGCTATTGCCATTGGGGACGATTCCCACGCGGGCCTGTCTGACCCAGAAAAATCCTATTTACCACTAAAAAAAAATATATATTATTATAACAAGTCTCTACAGTTGAGCTTGCGGCTATACATATGGGATACCGCGGATACCGAGAGTTGTGAGTGGCGACTGTATATTTCACGATCATTTTTATTTTTTCAATTATTTGTTTATTTTTTTATTTTCCATACAAAATTTAAAAATCCAGCTAGACAACAAAACGATACTTCGTGCTCGTAACGTTCGTATATTATAATATCGTTACCTAATACACCAATGTCTCAACTAAATATTTTTTTTATCATTAATATTCATATATCTATAAAACAAAAAATATATCTAAATTTAAATAACAAAAAACAAAAAAGTATAATTTTCGTATGTCTACCAAAGAATTATTTATTATTATTTTGTATTTATTAATTAATAAATAACTAATTGATCATCTCCAGTCTACATATTTATAATATTGCACTTCCGTAGCTAACTATCAGTTAAACAATGGTATTATTACGCTAATTTCCGCTTAACGCGAAATCTATAAAATATAATATTAATTGGGTATATATATACACACTACCTAGTACATTATACAGCCAATGATTCTCGGTCAAAGTACTTTATTTTTTTATAATTATAAGTACTTTTTAGTAACACATTATGAACTAATTTAATATATTCAAATAACAGTTTTTTTAATATTATTTTTAATCCCTATTTTATAAATATAAAAATATCTATGTAAATAGAATATTTTACAGTGACAATACACAATAATATTTAATATGTATAAATGTTTTACTCAAAATTGTCTTACTGCGCATTACGTGACTTTTTCATCAAGGTTTTACTTGGACTTAACATTTAAATGTATACGTTGTACACGCCTATACACATTACAATAATTTATAAACGACAGCCATAATATAGGTGTATGAATATTTTCCATTTTTACAAGGAGCAAGTGAATAATATTATCTCCAATATTGATTAGTCACTGATGTGTCTTACCTTCACATGCCACCTGGAACGTAATCCTCGATGACAACGAAGCTCTCTAATGCACTAAAATAATCATTCAGTCATAATATTATTTGTTACACTGAACGTGGTTGTGTATACTTACAGTCTACAGAAACGGACGGTAGTCGCAACACGAATACAAAATTATTGAGGATCTGACAAGGACGATGCGATAGAGAAAACGCAGGCGACGAACATTTTCCTATATATCTTCGAAGACAAAAGAAAATATCTCGATTACCTGGTTGCACGCTTGCCCTAAGTATACTCCTTTACTGCGGTCACGTCGACTTCGACCAATATTTTGTATCTATAGGTTGTCCGCCTCAACAGCGTTAAATTACGAAATCCAGAGGAGTATTACCAGGAGTATTATGCACTACCCATGTGACAATACTACGGTAAGGTCGACCACATCAAATGGCATCGTTCATGTTGTATGCGGTAACCACGAATCACTGCCGTGTAACAGTGATATTTTCTGTTGGTCTGTCAACTGTCATTGCGTATTTGGACTTTTGACACACTGGAGATCAGAGAGATCAGAGCAAGATCTCTGAAGAGAAAATGGGTAATGTAGCGATTTTGTAACAACACAAATACACAAATACAAATATACAATGTAGGTAAACAATTGATTTTAAGATAAACAGTACCTATTTCAGAGGAAAAATATAGAGAAATAATATGCAATGGGGCAGGGGGGGGCGGACTGACCATAGACGATTAACACATGTTATTAATGCCTTATGAAAGGACATAAGTAATTAAATAATAATATAGTTAATATTGCAAGTAATTTAATAGCATTCTTATAGATATTTATCTAAATTATTGCATACTTATTGGTTGGAAGTAAGAGAGAGAGAGATAATCCAAAAAAAAAAGGTGGGTGGTATATTTTTTATGCCAGGTTTCATTAATGGGTGGGTGATTGTGGTGATCCTTGCCGTTTAGTTTTGTATACTTCAGCGCCACTGTACCGTCTGTACTTATGTTTTATAGTATATAGCACATTCTGTATATGAATGTATATTTATGTATATTGTATTAAATTATACAATTTGCCTCTTTTCTCGCCAAGAAGCTAATGGTTTAGGTACCTATGCCACTGACTCGTTAAGTACCTATATAATTTACAAAAACCTACTTCTTCATTATTAGTACATAATATTATTTAATATATACACTTATAAAATAACCCGTTTTTAACTGATGACTTTACATACATGAGCAAATTAAAATTGTTTTATTAATAATTAAAATAAATGTACACAACTTGCATTTTATGTTTAAAAAAATAGTCAGGTATTTTAATATAGTATTATATTTAGGAATCATAGATTATGGACAATTTTTTTCATATGAATCTTTGTATCAATATCCTTAAGAAATTGTATCAATTTTTTTTTTTAATTTTAATTTAGCATACTCTTCTTGATTCCCGAAATGCATATATTATATTCATTTACAATAGGAAAATTTAAGATATTCCTGTAAGTAGTTGACACCGGAATAATGAATGAAATGTACATTTATAAATAAAGAGTATTGCAAGTCATATATTATACGGATACGAAAAATAATGACAGTCTCCAATGTAATTATGTTTAATTCATTAGTCATTACCTATTTGTCAAAGCTTTTTCTGTTTGAAAAAATATCATTTTTAATTTAACGAAGGGACGCTGTATTGTTATATAAAATGCATAATTTCTGATTAAGTAGTGAGTTATAATATAGGAAAATATCGTAGCAGTAATTAATAATTTATTATATGGGAACCTACAAATTATTGGAATTTCGTTCTATGCAATATTAGCTGTAAAACCCGAGTTTGCCAGGAAAAAATGAATAAAAATAAGGGGCTATATCAGTGTTTCTCGATTCTAGTGTACCTCAGTTGAATCAGTCATAGCAAACCTCAATTTGTGAACTAATTCGACAGAGATGGGCCATGCACATGTGGTGGGTAAGACAGTATTAGGTATCTAAATTGGTAT